TATATGAATATAATAGGGGCTTCCCCCAGAGCTGGTCTGGTGAGAGAGAGAGTGTGCAAAATAGAAGCCTAATCCTGGAAGCGATGTGCCATCACTTCTGCCATGTGCTAGTGATCGCACAGACCAGCCCTGGTCCCACAGAAGAGAGAGCTCCTGGAGGGTGTGAGTACCAGGAGGCTGGCGGCCCCTGGTGCCTTTCAGATCTCTTAAGGCCATCTGTTTCCCATTTCTTTCATCGTTTTCAAATTCTCTTTCTTAATCCACAAAGACCTTTGTTGCAGGAACAATTAGCCACATCCTTTATAGGAAGAGACATTTGTTTCTCTACTCATCCAAAAACTCTCTTTACATCCTACTTCCTAGATTGTAGGGATAAAGGAAAGTTATCTTTATAGGTAATAACTGGTTTCTGGAACTTTTCAGACAGCCTGCATCTGACCTGTACTCAGTGAGAAATGAGGTAATTGCACATCTTTCAAAGCTCACTTTTTTGGCACGAGGAACACTAATTAAAGAAACAAAGAATCAGGATGGCTGTTATATTAAAACAAGACGGAAAACAAGATGTTTGATGTGGACATGGAGGAATTGGAACCCTTGTGCATGGCTGGTGGGAATGTAAAATGGTGCAGCTGTGTGGAAAATAGTATGGTGGTTCCTCAAAAAGTTAGATACCTTATGGGGCCGGCCGAGTGGCACGATGGTTAAGAGCTGGCTTGGGACGCCAAAGGGCCCCGGTTCGGATCCCACATATGAGGGCCAGTGACACTGCCCTCCACAGCTAAGATGCTGAACAACAGCTCAACCTGGAGCTGGGCTGCTGTGAGTCGCTGGCGACGGCGTAGGCTGCAGCCCCTGTGGCAGTGGGTTGCCATGGGCTACCGTGTGTAGCCAGCAGCCAGCGTGAGCGGCCAGGAGCCAGCGTGAACGGCCAGCAGCTAGCGTGAGTGGACGTCCAGAAGCCAGCGACTGATCTGCCTCGCCCGGGAAGAGCACAATGATGGTGCCAACTTGGGCCAGTGAAACAAAGTCCTCCACAACGAGACTGAAGAACAAAAGGACAGCAACTTTTCTGTTCCCCTTCCCCCAATTCCCCAGCACGGTTCCCATCTCCCCAATTCCCCAATAAAAATCTTAAAAAAAAAATGATACCATATGATCCAGCAATTCCACTTCTGGATACACATCCAAAAGAACTGAAAGCAGGGACTCAGATATTTGCACACCCATGTTCACGGCAGCATTAGTCACCATTGCCAAAAAGTGGAGATAGCCACATCTGCAGATGAATAAACAAAATGTGGTCCGTAGGTACAGTGGAATATTATTCATCCGTCAAAGGAAAGAAATTCAGACACATGCTATGACGTGGATAAACCTTGAAGACAGTGACGTGAAATAAGCCAGTGGCCAAGCTAGAAACACTGCATGATTCCACTTATGTGAGGTACTTAAGGTGGTCAAATTCACAGACACAGAAAATAGAACTGTGGGTGCCAGGGGCTGGGGGAGGGGGGAAAGGAAGTTATTGCTTAGTTAGGACAGAGTTTCAGTTCTGGAGCCGGATGGTGGTGATGGCTGCTCAACAACGTGTATGGAATTAATGGCACTGAACTGTGCACTTAAAAATGGTGAAGATGGTACATTTTACATGATGTATATTTTATCAGAATAAAACAACAAAAGCAAAGCCCATTGGTACTATTACTTTGGAGAGCAGTTTGGCAATATCCAGTGAAGGTGAAGAGGTAATGCCCTGACCTCCAACAACGGAAGAAAGGGGTTTTTAAATGGTCCTATATGTAGAAAATGGAGCATTTGACAGTTATGGAAAAAGAATGCTTCAAACGAAATGAATCAGCAAGGATATGTTTTGGAAACTTAACGTTGACCCCCCCAAAAAAAGCAAGTAGCACGAAGATTTTTCTTAAGTTTGTGGATATCCATGGTAAAATAATTAAGTAGGATAGTAGCTAATCTCTGGAGAGGGAGAAAGGAAATGAGATTGAGGAGACACAGGGCCTTGCTTGTGTCTGGGGTGTTTATTTCTTAACCTGGTGAGTACATGAGGATTTGTTATATTCTCTCTCTCTCTCTCTCTCTCTCTCCCTCCTTCTCTCTTTTTTTCTCGTATGCTTTAAATAGTTTATTAAACCCCACGTGGGAGAGGGAAAAAAAATCCAAAAACCAAAAGAACCAAACCTCAAATCAAAATAATCAAGCTTCCTGCATGTCCACCTTTTACAACACACCAAAATATAACATTAAATATTATAATGTTAAAACTACTGCTCTATATTTTTATACCTTCTCTCGCTCTCCAAAGCAGGGGCTCTGTCTAAAATGATTTTTTTTCTCCTTGATGACTGGTGCTTAGGTCATGCGGGGTGTTTAGTGTAGATGACAACGACAGGGCGACAGGGGTGGTGACGTCAGGCTGTGTGTCCTGAGAGGGGCGGAGCTGTTCCACCTTCACCTTGGGGAGTCATTGCTCCCCTGCCCACACAGGGCTACATAGCATATGCTATGGCTACCAGGTCAACACATTTCCTCCCAGCTCTTCAAACTGGAAAACATTTATGAGTAATTCTACTAACTTGCATCAGAGAGAAAGAATTCTAATCTCAAGGCTAGAAGATTTTAAGGCTCAGCTCTGTGAAGGTTATGTATTTCTTTTCTTTCCTTTTTTTTTTGAAGTGTGCTTTCCAAACAATTCCTGATGTTGTGTAACAGGATATTCATTTCTGGGGTAACAATGCTCCCATTGAGAGAGATGGCCTGGCACATACATATACTGCCCTTGAAGAGCCAAAGCAAAACCTCAGTGAACCCGCAAAAGTTACAGGCAGACGTGGGTGTACAGAGAAACCGAAATACAGTATCAATCAACCAGAAAAAAATGTACAGGTCTACCCACGCATTAAAATCGATGGGTTTGACACCAACGAAAGGATTTTTCTGATGTTTCTTTTCTTCTTACAATCACTTTTAAGAGCAACGAGTTTTTATAGCAGCAGCAAACAAGATATTTCTGTGGTTTGCCGTGTTTGACAAAGGATGTGGTGTGTGCTTGAAGAGGTTGGTGCCAGAAAACAGGTTTGAGAAGTCATGAAAGGACTGAGCAAAGCTGAGATGTGAACCTCGTTTCAGCCAAGCATTTTGGTGGTCACCGTATACAGCTGTGCCATTCAGAAGCCGGCTTGTGCACGGTGTGTGTTCTTGGCTGAGTCACTTCATCCCTCTATAATCTGAGCTGTCCAGCCCCTAACCTTATTCTCACCTTCTGTGGGGACTGGGAGGAAGTTCTGGACATCTTAAGCCTCATAGGTGAAAATTCCTGGAAACAGAGCTACTGTTCTCAAGTTGGTGAGAATGTTCTGGAAATCTCCATTCGTTTTCCTGGAGAGAAAGGAAAAAAAAACACAAAAACAAAACAAAACTGAGCTAGACCCTGACCATAAATTTGACTTTCTACTTCCTCTTTTTCTTGTGGTCTTTCTTCTTCAAAGTCAGTTTTGACCAAGTGTAACAAGTTCAAAGGAAGAAAAGTATCGCGTGCGCCTTTTGAATTAAAAAGAAAAAACCCTTTTGCTTACAGGTAACATGAAATGCTTCTTCCAACTTCCCTCGTTTTTCGACAAATATGTGCCCTTAGTCACAAGGGGCTAGGAGGAGAGAGAATGGGTCAGTGGAGCCCAGTCTAATGTGTGGGCGGACAACTCAGACCTTATGTTCTACAGATGGGGGAACAGAAGCATCCGACTTCGTATACAGAGTTTATCCGTCAGCCAGTAAGCATTTACTGAATGCCTCGACTGTTCAATGCTGAGTTATGCGATGAGTTCAGTGTGGTATGATGCCAGCATGGTGGATGCCAGACTGGGGCGCCAGGAGACCTGACAATGACTTGACTTTGGAAAAAAACCAAAAACTTCCTCCTCTGAGGGCCTCAGTTTCTTTATGTATAAACTGGGGGGGAGGGGGGGCTGTCATGGTTAACCTCAGCCTTAGGTTTCTTTCAACTAGAACTGTGGCAGATTCCAAAGCAGGATAATGAGTTTCCAGACTCCTGGATCTCAAGAGGCTTCTAGATAGCTGGGGAGACTGAGCAATCGCACCCTCAATTGTGTCATTTCTGAAAGAGCAGAGTTTGGCCTACCTGGATGTCTGGGCACCTTTCTTTGAGTTGGTGCAAAGGGATCAGTTGCATAGGTCCTTGTTCATGATGCTCCAGCCATCCTGGCTTTCGGCCCATTCCTTGAACATACCAAGCGAGGCCTGCCTCAGGGCCTTTGCACATGCTCGTCTTGCTACCTCCAGCTTCCTACAGGAATGGTGGCTGGCTCCTCCCTTCTCATCCTTTAGCTCTCCTTAGATGTCACCTTCTCTGAGAGGTCCATCTTTTTCTCCTCTCTTAAAGAAAGCCTTCCCTATTATCCTCTATATTCCAGCCTTCATTTCCTTCTTTCACATCTCCCCATGTGTAACCATTTTACTTGTTTTTGTTTGCTTCCCCCGTCAGTCTGCTAGCTCCATATAGGCAGGCGTCCTATCTGTTTTATTCCTTACTGTGCACCCAATGCCCAGTCCACATAGTAGGTCTCAATCAATATGTAGGTGGAATGACTTGGCATCCCCACAATTCCGAGGAACCAAAGGCATCTAAAGTTGTTTCTTCATAAAGTCCCCTTCTTTGGGGCTCTGTGGGCCCGGCTGGGCTTAGACAGGCGTCAGTAACTTCCTTCCCTCTGCCCGCTTTCTTTGGATCTCAGCATTTCTTTTGAGGAAGAGGCTTTTATGACATCATAGCACACTTTTCTGTGCCGCAGTGACATCACCACTGCCAATCGCTGCGTCACAAGACTATCCCCAAGTCCCTCCCTTTAGAAGCCCCCAACCTGCCCAGAGACACCTCCCTGCCGGGGTACCGCCAACTGCCCAGCCCACTATGCCGCGCCCGCCGGCCCGCGCGGCGATGACGTCACGCCCCAGGGCTGGCGTCACGTGCCCCCCCCGCCGGGGGGGGGCGGGCCTTGAGGGCGGTGCTTCCGGTCTGCGGAGCCTGGCGGCCAGAGAGGCGGCGGCGGCGGCGGCGGCGGAGACGCGGGGATGGCGGGCTCCGGGAGCGAAGCTCGGTTCGCCGGGCTGTCGCTGGTGCAGCTCAACGAGCTACTGGAGGACGAGGGGCAGCTGACGGAGATGGTGCAGAAGATGGAGGAGGTGAGCCGAGCGGGGCCCGCGGCGGCGGCGGCGGCGGCGCTGGAGACGGGGTCGTGGGTGGGGGACCGAGGCTGGGTCTGAGAGGGGGGCGGGGAAAAGCGTCCTTAGACGGTGCTTGGGGGGGCTGACCGGGTCCTGAGACGAGGCTTGGGGGGGGGGCCGACGACCCGAGGCTGGGATTGAAGCGGGGATTAGAGAGCCTGGCGTGGGTCCTTGGCGGGGGAGAAGGCTGTGGCTGAGTCTGGTGGGGCGAGGACGGAATTGGGGGATTGAGATTGGGCTGGAGAGGGGGGATTGTAGTCGAGGACTAGGGGTGACAAACCGGACTGAGGGGGCTGAGGGCTAGGTCTGGGCAGAGATTGGGGGGTTGAGTGGGAAGATTGAGGGGTACAGAGGGACTGAGGCAGTGATTGGGGGTCTGAGAATAGGTTTTGAGGGACTGAGTGGACTAGCTGGATGTGAGTTTTAGGAGAGGATTTGGGGGCTTCCGAGACAGGGTTGGGGGGCCGAGTGTCTGTAGCTGAGTCTGGGAGGTAGCTCTGAGGTGGCCTTTAGGACTGGGCAGGGGTCTCCGAGGTTGGGAGGCACAAGGCCGACTTAGCTAGTATCCATGTATCCGAGGGTTCCCGAGTGCCAGAGGGGCCCTCCCCGGTCTGACTTCAATTGGAAGTGGCCCTGACAGTTATCCCAGGGGGCACCTCTCCCTGGTCTGGGGGTGTGCTGAAGGGTGGTACCAGGGTACCTTTTTCCGCAAGAGTTGCCTTTCCATGGAAGAAGGGAATGTGGGAATTCTAGTATGGTGGCATTGCCCCATTGGGTCCTACCCCCCTGAGGGGACAGAGAGACTTCCTGGAGCTGTTTTTTGGGAGAAAATACATTGGGCGTTGGAGGCTGACAGCCAAAACCCCACCCCCCCCACCCCCCGCTTTGCTAGTAGAGGGCCTGCCCCCTTTCTGGAAGGCATGTGCCGGCCCCTGTCAGGTTACCTCCCTTCCTTTTGGCATGGTTTGCTCTCGGGGTCACTGGCTTCACCCTCGTGCCTTTGCGGCGTGCTTCCGTCTCTCCCTTTGCTGCCCACCTTTGGAACTTTCTCTGAAAATCGGATCCTGTGGGGCTGGGTCTTCTCCAGGCAGATGGACCCGGCCCATCTACCACTTCTCTTTTGTCTCTGAAGTCTGAGCCTTCCCACGCCTCCAGAGCTGAGCGTCTCACCCAGAAGCCTGTGTGGGGGCTTTTGGCTTTCTTTCGGAGGGATTGTTCAGCCCCGAGCCGGCCCCCTTAAAATGGGGCTTGTCTGGAGGTTGCACATTCAAAATCCCTGGAAAACCCTCAACAGATCATTGTCCCGAGCTACAGAGAGGCCACTGTGGTAAGATGGTATCAGCCTTTCCATTAATACACCCCTTGTATTCACTGCCTTGTAACTTGGCACATAGAACGTGGCTCCGAGATGCAATTTACCCCATTTATGGTCTCCATGTGGCACTTTCTATTTTAGAGAATAATAAGTGACAAAATCCATCTTTCTCGACTGAATGAGAGTTTCATGTCTCCAAAGAAAGAAAATCTTTGCTTAGTTTCTCTGCTTTTGTTGGTTGCCAGGAGACCTTTTGTTGATTGCCAGCAGGCGGCTTTCTGGTTTAATAATAAAATGATAGGTATATTTTTCTAACGTGTAACACTGCGAGTTATTTTACTATATGTGACTACCCTGTTTCAGCAAGAACAAGAGTACTGTCGTTGTAATGGTGGAACATTCATAGAAAGAAACTGCTTTTTTGCGGGGAGGGGGGGAAGATTTTAGAGCAAGACAAGTAATTCTGCTGACTGAGGCTGTTAGGGGTATTTTCACTTGTTTCCTCTACCTAGGAAACGAGATTATTATTTAAAGGGAAAGGCAAATTAATCTAGCAGGATTTTTTTTTTTTTTAAAGTAAAGGTGACCTTCGTACCAGAGTACTCTACCCAAATCCTGAGGGCTGACTGACTCCACTGGATTAGACCACATAGTTCAAGTTAATAACTCAGCAGTAGTTTGTACTTTAGGGTGTAGTGCTATTCAGTAAAACAAGGAAACTGAATGCAGAGACCAGAATCCATTAGCCAGGCAGCTCACCCAGCCGCGGTCACACTCCACCAGTCCTGTCGCCCTGGTCGTGTACGGCGAGCTTGTGAAGGAAAGAGTGTAACGCCACAGCCGGAATTTTGGCCGTGATGGTTTCGTTCAGCTGGTATTGTCGTGCGTTGGTTTACCTTGGAGTGGTTGTGAGGCACAGCAGAAGAAAAGACTTTGTGAACTGTCCACTCTTGACCAAAGTGGAGCCTGTAGGATGCGGTGTTCAAGTAATGTTCAGGCTTTGGTATCGTCGGCTCCAGGCTGAACGTGGCCACTCCCAGCTGTGTGATTGCAGGCAAGTCGCTTCACCTCTCTGAGCGTCTGTTGGAGAAGAAGAATGTGGTTATATTTATTTCATGGATTTGATGTGTGGCTTATGTGAGATGGCGGTGCCTGGCAAGTCCTCGACACAGCATCTGGTCAGTGCTCAGTAGAATCACTGCAGTGAATAATCATTGGTAGTTCTCTCTTTTTAGAAAGATGACTGATAGCCAGTAATGCTAGACCATCCTGCCAAGTGCACAGGGCCTTCTTTCAACAATCTTAAGTAGATTTTTACTGGCCATTAGCCTAAGACACATTTTACCTTTTTATGATCAACATGATTCTGTGTCTAGATAGGTCTAGGATGAGCCAGTTAATGGAATAGGCCTCTCACAGCGTAGACTCTCTTAACCTGAACCAAAGGCTTTCTTTTTTTTTAATTGGCAGAGGAAAGTGTTTTAAATTGCAGAGTAAGGCTTCTTCAAGCCTGAGGGGATATTTTGTGGCGACTGGAAAGCGTGGCTGCGTTTTGAAGGCTTTCACTGTTAGGTTTAAGGACAGCCTGCATTATGCTCTCCTTAAATTGTTTTAGCTGTGGTGTGTGAGCTTCCGTGCCAGCTTGTCGGGTCGCCTGTGCGCCTGTGTTTCCCCTTTCCTGCTCCCCCCGCCCCACCCCGTCCAGTTGGCAGCTCCCTAAATGTGGCATATCCCTAATGACCTATGCCCTTTCCTATTGCCAGCGGCTGATGTTTTAGATGCACACATTGTTATTTTTATTTAAAGTTATTTTTACTCGGCCGTGGAATGTGCCAGGCTCTGTGGGTCCACATTAACCCCCTTGGACACGCAGGGCACTCCCTTAAAAGGAACTGTCGCATAGGGGATTAGACAGCGAAACTGGCCCTCCCTCGGGTCACTTCTCCCAGTGGGCTTTCTGAGGAAGTGCTGACTGGTCGGAGCTACCTAAGGATTCAAATTCAGGGTCCCTGTTCCTGTGGCCAGTGAATATGCCCACAGGCAAAATCGCTGAGGGTCTGAAAAACAGGCTGCTGTGGAAAGTCTAGAGCCTGGTCTGGAAGGAGCTGTTTCCCTAAGGCGTGTTCTCGTGGGAGGTGTGTGAGGCCACCGGCCAGCCAGCTACTTGCATGAATCATAATGGCTCATTGAAGTGTACCGACCTTGCGTTAAACCGGGGCTGGAACGCTATGCTCGCTCGTGGGACTGGTTTTTAGAAGCGAAGGCTTAAACTCTTGGAGTGTGTGCTACTGGAGTTTGTTCCTGTCCGTGTGGTACAATCATTATTGTATATAAAGAGGCTTCAACTTTTATGTTTAAGTCTTCTCTTCCATGGGCCTGTTATTGCCTTAATCCTTGAGCAAAAAATTACTGTGCCCGGGATGTTTTCTGAAATTCGATTTTATCTGATTTTTATCTTTTTTTAAAGGAGACTTCCAGAGAGTTGTGTGACCGTATTTCAGTTATTTAAACTCTGTGCCTCAGTTCCTCTCCTGTGGAGGGAGGATAGTAGCCATACCTGCCCGGTAGGGTCCTCGTGGGGTTAATGGAACAGCAGGTGGAGGCAGGATGAGACGCAGAGGGAGCTCTCAGGAGAGGCTGGCTCCCGTTCTTTAATAAGAGATTTCCAGAACTGTCAGACTGGCTTAGGTGAAATCTGATCACTTACTTAATTGCTCTCTACTTCTTTGTATTGATAACAAGTGCAGTGGGGGTGGCAGCGTGCAGAACTGGCTTTTGATCCTCGCAGACTGACCTTCCAGCTTTCCAGGGGCAGTTTTCTCACTGAAAATAAAGAGGATAATAACAGTAACCCACTTCAGAGGGTTGTTGGGGTGAATTACAGGAGCTAAGTATGCTGAGCATGGTACCACGGGCAGCCAGGGAACTCGCAGTAATTATTATTAACTATTATTGCTAGAAGTAAAAGGCATATTTTTGCGGCCATTGCAAGGTTCCATTTTGGTTCTACAGCTGTGGGGCGCTTGCTGTGTGCAAGGCATGGAAAGGAAAGGAGCATGAAGCAGGCATAATCCCTGTTCTAATTTAGGGAAGAACCCAAGTCCACACACATCTACGCTGCAAGACAGAGGAGGTGGCAGTTTCACTTTGAAGATGAAAGACGTTATAGGGTTGGACGGTGGTGCAACAGCGTGAATGTACTTAGTGCCACAGAAGCGTACCCTTAAAAATGGTTAAGATGGTCGGTTTTATGTTATGTGTATTTTACTACAATTTTTTAAAAAGAGGGAATAAGAAAAAGGCCTCATGTGAATTGTAAAGGACACTGCAGGTCAGATGAAGAGCAGCTGCCTGACTCGGTTCCTACTGCAAGAGGTGGACATTGATAGGTGGGTAAGAAAATAAATCATCAACTACAATACTGCCTGTGAGAGGGTCCCGACTAACCTAAGGAGCACCTGTGCACCTGCCACCCAGCTTAGGAATTGCGAACCCAACGAAAAGTCCTCTTTTTGCTCCATCCTGAGCATCACCCCCCAGCCCCCACCCCCCAGGATTAGGTATTTCTCTAAATAGGATTTCTCCAGATGAAAATGGGGGACGGCATGAGCACAGGCACGCAGCAGGAAGGCACGGGACAGGTTTTATGACTCATGAGCTACCATCTGCTTTGATCAGATTTGCTGATGAGCAGGAAAATGAGGGGAAATGGGACTGGTGGGGGCACCGTGCCAGGGCGTGAGCTCGGTGGCAGTGAGTCCCCATGACTTCGGAGAGGAACAACGTGGTCAGAGGGACGCTTTAGGAAGATGAAGTTGGCAGCAGTGTATGGGCTGGATTGGCATGGGGCGACCCAGGAAGACCATGCTGAAGGTGGGAACAGATGTGCAGGTAGGGAGAAATTAGGATTTGAGCTAGGGGGCTGGGGGAGGAGATGTAGGCCAGCGAGCTGGACTCCCGTCACACCCCGGGCCCTTGTGGCATTGTCCCTCCTCTGCCCTTAGGAGGGACCAGGTCAGTTTTGCCTCAGACACTGACACTTAGCTCTTTGTATGCCTCTTCTGTGGCACTTGACACACATTCTGTAAATCATTTACTTCCCTGTGTCCCTGCCTAGCCTGGGACATGTTTATCTCTGTGTCCTCGCACCTAGCACGATGCCTGGCCCACAGTGCTGCTGAGTGGGGTGGAGAGGGGTCATCGAGACCCGGAGCCTGGTGTGAGGGACAAGCAGGGCAGCTACAGGCGCCATCGGCAGGCGGCCGGACCTGCAGATCTGGAGCTGATGCGAACAGTCTGCTGTGATACAAATTTGGGGCCAACTCCCTCCAAGTGCTTGTTGAAATCAAGGAGAATACGCAAGTTCGAAAGGCCAGTAGGAGTAATTAGTGGGTTGGGAGAAGGAAAGAGGTGCCGTTAAAGAAGAGGGAGAAACGCGCCCGATGACCTTATCACACAGACAAGTTGACACCCTGTTTGTTAATAGTGCTTGTACTCTATCAGACTGGTCAAAAAGGAACCCAGAAGTGACTGAACTATTGGAACCTCAGGTGTCACGTGCAGAATTGGTGTGCTCCTGAGCTAAGCCGGCCTGCCCGTTTCCTTGGCTTTTATCACAGTATTTGTGGCAGAATGTTGCTATGGGGATTGTGGCGGTGCAGGGTTATCTGCAACGGTCCGTGTGTGATGGCCGACACGCGGAACATGCTGACTGCAGCGCCCTGGTTGGTTTATTTCCTTTCTCGGCTATGTGGGCTTTTCAGATTCCATCGTCTTTCAGGAACACTCTTACCCAGTGGTACAAAAACAGAAAAGTTCTTTGGAGAATTTCTTCCTCGGGAAGAATGACAGCAGAGAGGTAGATGTCACTTGCTTGTCATTAGGTTAGATCGTAGCCTGTCAAGGGAAAGCTTTTAAAGCACGTCTCATGGAATCATGGGAAATGTTCATTATTGTGCCAGAGAGTTTATGTGAAAAGCAGGTATTTGACTGGTTTATTTTATTACAAGCAGTGTCGTATAGTTCATGTTTCAGACCCGTTACCGCCCAGGTTAGCTGATGGCACCTCGAGGTTACGGTCACGTCTGTAGCCCAGTGCCTGGATGGCGCAGGGACAGAGCCCGGGCGAGTTACTGTTTGCCATCGGGGCAGCCGCTTTCATTAATGCGAACACGGTGTATTCACTCACTCAGCCTTTCGGCTGCACCTTGGGGATGCGAAACCGCTAAGCCACATAGTTGTTATCTTGTCAGAGGGTTGCGTAGGTATATGGAACATGGTACATAAGAAACAGCAACAGAGGTGGACACGCCCCAGCGGGAGGGAGACCCAGCCAGCCTCTGTGGGCTGAGTAGATCACAGGGAAGGAGTGTTTCCTGGTGACTCACGAGCTGTGATTCAAAGGGTGAGTTAAGTAAGCAGTTAAGGAGGGAGAAGAGCTTCCTGCACAGGGGTAGGGAGCAGGGAGCGTGCGCACAGCCCCGGTGGGGGAACCAGGGCAGGGGGACGAGGCCGGAGAGGCAGGCAAAGCCCAGATGGCCTCGTGCCTGAGCAGGAGCTCGGGTTGGGTCCCTCTAGTCAGAGGGACCCACTGGGGGATTCTCAGCTAGGGAGTGCTGCAGTCACACTGGCAATTTACGTAGATGATTCAGGCCGTCAGCAGGAGGGTGGGTTTGAGGGGGAGAAGAGAGGAAAGCAGGCAGATCAGTTAGAAGGCAAAAGAACGCCTGAGCAAAAGGCCTCGGGGCAGCCAGACGATGACTTGGAGGGCTTGTGCTGGGCTCCAGCACAGCCTGTTGAGTCTTGCTTTGT